TCAACACATGGTATCTTTTCGATTATATAGTTCTTAGTTATAAGTTATAACTATTCTTTTCCATTCCTCCTTTTTTTTTTTTTTTTTTTTTTTTTTTTTTTTTTTTTCTTAGGGGGCCAATCTAAATACTTTTTTTTTTAATTGGAAAGAAATTTTATTTGTTCAAACATTTGTTTTGCAGGAAAATGAAATTTTGGATCAAAGTGTTGATAATATTATTGACAAAGCATTTGTTTGCGTATTCAGCGGAAAATTGGATTGATCATATAAAGAAAACCCTTCTTTACATTTGGGCTATTATCGTGTTAATTGTTTGCAGTCAATGGGTGAGGTCCCTTGAACAATGGTTCTAAATTTCAAGAATTGTTTGATTTGTACTCTGCGAAAGGGGTTTTATTTTATGAGTGTAAATGATTGTATATGTTTTCTGATTCTGATGGCGTTTCTGTATTTTATACACACTATTACCCAAGGTAAAAGACGAATCGCAATTTTTTCGATTTTACGATGATTTAGATAGTTTCTAGTTTTTCATTTTAAAAAGGGCAAATTACCAAAACCCCCCTGAGGTAAGTCTGAATAACGAAAAAACCCCCCACGTTCTCGTAATTACGAAAACCCCCCTGAGGTATGCAGACATCTTACAAATCGCTCTAACGGTGTTAAACTCGATAGAATCTTTTTGATTCTCCGGAATATTCCTCCGATAATACCAATTTTGCCCTTGTACACGAAATTACCCTTAGGGGGGTAATTGTAAGCATTTTATAGGGGTCATAAATATGTATACAACTACAACAACACTGATAACTTTTGATAAGCAAATTCTATTACAGAAAAAATGGAGAAACTCGTATAGAAGCTTCATATTTGGTTGCTATACATATTGCTTAGTGGATTCTCCTTGCTATCATAATCAACCATTAGCTTAAACTTATAGCTAGTTAAACTCATAACCCAATCTGCTGAGCCGCAAAGTCGAAAAAAGTAGAAAAACAAATATGATAAAAACATTCCGAATTTATTTTGCTTTTGTCGAAACTAGCCACATTGAGGACGAAAATTCATATTATTAACCCTGTTCCCGAATTCATATACCGAAACCAGAAAGCCAAACATCTTCTGCACAATTACCTTTACCACATCAAAAAATGCTGATTTACTACAACATACTATTTGTAACTGCAAGTACGAACAAATTCGCAAAGAAACACAATCGTGAAGGACAAATGAATTTTAAAATTTGAACTTTCATGACGAAATTCAGTTTCTTCGTATCAAACACAGTAACGAGCAAATTAATTCACATGAGATATCAGAAATTCCAAATCCTCCACATCACTTCAAAAATCGAAAAAGTTCTACAAATCCGCGTAAAATGTTATAAAATCTCGAAGGAAAGTACCTGTACCACCGGATTTTCCTCCTCCATCATTTTCCTCACAGAATCTTTTCCCTCATCCGCCATTTTCCCCTCTTCTCTAACTTCCTCCTCCTCCTTTTCCCCTTCTTCATCCTTCAAATTCCCCGTCGGCAGCAATTCAGCTTCAGAGCAGGGATTATCAGCAATAACACCACCATCGTTATCACTCACGGCATTATCGGGGAGAATCGGAGCAGAATTAGCGACCTCTGGATTGGGATTAGGGTTTGAAATCGCGGCTACGTCGTCGTCGGAGGAGTGGAGGCGGGAGAGGGCTCTGGCGCGGCGGCGGAGGAGATTTTTGAAGTCCTTGGGTGAAATCGTCCGAGATGGGCACGGCCAACTGCGGGGAACATCCGGCACCTTGTGGAGGTTGCCTTTGTACACCCCACTCCGCAAAGCTCAGCCTCACGGTGTCGGCAAACTTCTTCAGAAGCTCCACCATCACCGCCTGCAGCAGAACCCATGGTGGTCCGAAAATCGTCGTCCAAATTTGCGTCGTTCGTTCCGTCGCCTGTGACCGCCACCACATTTTCATCTTTTTTCTTTTATTTTCACATATTTAACAGAAGGATACAATAGACATTTCACGTTTTCGGTTAAAAAAATTCGGTCAACCGTTAGTCAAGGGGGGTTTTCGTAATTACGAGAACGTGGGGGGGATTTTCGTTATTTAGGCTTACCTCAGGGGAGTTTTGTTAATTTGCCCTTCAGAAAAAAATAAGATATTCTTTTAAAGGAACTACCAAATACTTTTGAAGAGTTTATAAGTTCTTCAAGATCTTATAAATTCTTTTTAATATCTTATAAGTTTAGCAAAACATATATCAAAATGGGGGACCATTACGAGATTTGGTCAATAACTTTCATGTGAATCGACATAAATTGGAAATTTTGTTTCAATTTTTGCCAATAATTTATGCACGTACAAGCTATTGAATTGAATATTATTTACTATTTGTACTTTATCATTTAAAATTGGGATAAAATACTTTTTCCTCTCCAAAGTCTTTAAAAAAAATAACTTGATAAAAAATAAAAGCCTTTTCTTTTTCATTGGCTACTTCTCAATCCTATTGCAAATTGCATTTTAATTTATATAATTTTAAACTTTCAACTCTTTTATTTGATTAGAAAACTAATTCCGTCATTTTCCTTTTTCATATTGCCACCATGTCTTTGATTCCGCCTTCCCCGATTTTTTCTCTCTATTTCTCCCTCAATTTTTCATTTCCAATATCCGAATTCCAAAGAACAAAGGAAAAAAAAAAAAAAGAAAAAAAAGGTCTCAGTTATGAGCATGCAAAAGCTCCTTGATATCGATCCTCAGCAGGCAGCTTTTCGCCGTAAGTTTCTTTGTTTTTTTTTTTCATTATTTATATTTTTTTTGCAATTTATTGTTTGATTATTTGTTTGTTCATCTATTTAGAATTTGTTTTTTGGGTTTTATATTTTGGTTGATTAGTTGAGGTGGGGAGACAAGTCTCTTGCAGAATTAAGATATCTAATAACTCCCAAGAGCATGTTGCTTTTCAGGTAATAAATATGTTTTTAAGTTTTATGTAATATTTTATGGGCACTGCTCAAGTGGTTTTGAACCGTAAATTTGTTATAAATAATTATTCACTAAGTACACATACACATTGGAATGTGTTATTATGTGTAGATCAACAGTTCAAGATCACTCGGTGAAATTTCACCAGGTGTAGATCTACAAAACCGTTAATCAGATGATGCTATGTTTTTATTTCAGGTTATGACGACAAATGTTCATAAATATTGTTTTCGACCAAATGCCGGAGTTCTTAAGCCCGGAGAATGTTTAGAGATTACAGGTTCTCAATAAACAATCCACATGTGTGTTTGTGTGTGTTGCTCTTGCTTACATAAATATTATAAATGATGATTTCACTTAATTTAATTTGCAAACATTTTCTTTCGGTGCTAAAAACTCGTAAGTGTGTGTGTTTCTTTTGCAGCAACTATGCAAGCCCTAACAGAGATCCCTTCTAACATGGCGTGTAATGATAAGTTTGTGATAAGAAGTGTTGTTGCAACTCCTCTTCACACAGCAGAAACCGCACACGAGTTGGTAATCATATAGTCTAAAATAAATTTACTTTGCAAACTATTATACGAGCGTATAGGTTTACCCAGTGCACCTATAGGCTATATGGTTGGTTGCGAGTTTTTTTATTAAAAAAAAATATAATAATAATAATAATAATAATAATAATAATAATAATAATAATAATAATAATAATAATAATAATAATAATAATAATAATAATAATAATAATAATAATAATAATAATAATAATAATAATAATAATAATAATAATAATAATAATCATCTGCACATATGTGTCAAGTGCTAATTCATCCATTTGGGCCTATTTTTGGGAATATTGATGATAATGATAAAGATTAGGGCCTACACTCTTGAGATATGATAAAATCATTTTAAGATTCATGTCGTATACGTAATTACAGTCACTCCTGAAACGTTGTTAGAAATTCAAATGGGATAATGCGTTAGATACGTTATTCCGTTAGAGTTGTAATTGACTATTAATTTCAGCAAGTGGTGGAAACAACATAGAGTTATGGGATGATTTAAGAACTGTTGGGGGAGTCTTGTCACCTCGTAGCTCTATGTTGTCTCCACCACTTTTTGAAACTAATAATCCGTTGGAACTCTAATGGAAGAACATATCCAATGCATTATCCGTTAGAGTTTCTAACTATATTTCAGAAAGGTAATTGTAATTATCGATACCACATGGACCTTAAAGTTATTTTATCATATATCAGGCTTGTGGGTTACCCTAAATATTATTTGAATTGGATGTGATTTACATTGTCCACAATAATTCAATGTGTGAGTATCTTATATTTGTTATTTATCATTATACAATTCAGTGTCGTTTAGTTGCCAAGATAATATTAGATTATTTAATGACAATTCAATTATTTTATTGGATTCTGGGACGTCCAACAAAATAACTCTATACAAGGCATGATAAGTCATGATAACATAATATTCTGCAGGTCGACTCAGTAATTTATTGAGGGATAACATAATATTTTGTGAATCGACTCAACAATTTATTGAAGATACCAACAATGGATAATAACTTTAATTGTTTATTTGGAAAATAAAAAATAATATTAAGGGAATTTTTCGTGCTTGCAGTTCAGTGAAGGAACACTTGCGTTTGAAGAATGCAGATTGAAAGTGGTATGTTTCAAATGCATCAGTTTTAGCTACAATCCTGGTAAGTTTAATTTTAATCATCAACAGCTGAATTTAAAATCATTAAGAAATTTGTTTGTGTTCACCAAAATATTTTTAAGGAAAAAGTATCAAATCAAATTTGGGGTGATTACAAATAAGCACATCAATGAGTATTTATTCATACAGAGATCCAAGCATAAATCTATTTTACCAATAAGTCCACACATGGTTAGATTTTTGTAAAGGACTACAATAACCCCTCATACTTTAATATGCTCCAATATCATCCTCAACTTAATTTAACGTCAATTTTGACCCCAAATTTTAAAAATTATTCAATTTTGACCAAAATTTTTTTCTTATCAAATAAAAAAAAATTCAAAATTTTTTTCCCCGCCGGTCTCTGGCGTTGACTTTCAATTTTTTTTTTCTTCCGGATTTTTTCGCCGTTGACTTTTTCGATTTTTTTTTTCCTTTTCTTTCTTTCTGTAACTTTTGTTTTCGTTTAAACAACAATATTGCTGTGATTGACAGTAATATTAACTATATTACTGTTAAACACAGTAAAATTAACTGAACTACAGTTTAACACAGTAATATTGTTATATTAATCTCTAGCACAGTAATATTAACACAACAAAACTCATTATTATTGTGTAATAAAGTAATATTACTATGTTGACCGTTCAACAAATGTAAACATAATAAAAAACCAACAGAATTAATATTACTGTGAGCAGTGGCGGAGCCAGCCTTTGGCAAGGGTGGGCTCCAGCCCACTCTCATTATTTAAAAATTTATACTATATATTACATCTATATATAATTAGCCCCCCAAATAGTTTAATTTAGCCCACCCAAGTAATTTAGTTTAGCTTATCTATCAAAAAATTTATGTTATATTAGTTGAAGTTTATAATTTGTGGTTATTTTATGCTATTTTATGTTAATGAATATAAAAAAAATCGGGGGCGCTGCCCCCGAACCCCCGTCAATGTTAAGCTCACCCACCCAAGTAATTTAGTATAGCTTTTATGAGTTTAAGTTTATAAATTTGTACTTATTTTGTGCTATATTTTTATGTGAATGAATCAAAAAAAAAAATCGGGGGCGCTGCCCCCGAACCCCCGTTAATGTTAAGCCCACCCTGTCTCAAACTCCTGGCTCCGCCACTGACTGTGAGTGACAGTAATATTACTAAAACAACAATAATATTACCGTCAACCACATTAATATTACAATAATAGACAGTAATATTATTACGTTACTCCGTGAATAACTCAAACAAACAAAAAAATCCAAACAAAATAATAATATTGATGTGGTTGACAGCAGTATTACTATAACAACAGTAATATTACCGTCAACTACAGTAATATTATTGTGTTTACAGTAATATTACAATATAGACAGTAATATTATTACGTTACTCCGTGATAACTCAAACAATACAAAAAACCCAAAAAAAAAATAATAATATTGATGTTGTTGACAGTAATATTATTGTGTTTACAATTATTTACTGTCAACGACAGTAATATAATTACGTCGACTTGTCAACAAATCAAACAAAAGAAAAAAAATAACAAAAAATAAAAAATAATGATAATACGTTAGGGCAGAACAATTACATAAATGTATTGTCGACGGCAGTACAATTACGTTAATTAACTGTCATTAACAGTATAATTACGTTAATTTACAGCCACTGACAGCGTAATTACGGTCAACGTTTAGCGGCGGACTTAAAAAAAAAATAACTTAGAAAAACACTAAAAAAAGTCGACGCCGGAAACCGGCGAAAAAATCCGGCAGAAAAAAAAAAAAGTCAACGCCGGAGACCCACATTGACCGCCGGTCAACGCTGAAACCGGGAAAAAATCCGAAAGAAAGAGAAAAAAAAAATTGAAAAGTCAACGCTGGAATCCAGCGGCAAAATTTCTTTAAAAAAAAACAATTTGGGTCAAAATTGAATAATTTGTAAAATTTGGGGTCAAGTTAAGATTAAATTAAGTTAATGATGAAATTGGCGCATACTCGAAATTCATGGGCAGGTCGTACTCGGAATAGAGTTGTTGATGAGTAATATTGTCCTCCTGTATTTGATCTTTTGGTTGCTTGGAATCAAGATTCTGCCACGCATATGGTATCTTTTCGATTATATAGTTCTTAGTTATAACTATTCTGTTCCATTCCCCCTTTTTCTTTTTCTTTTTTCTGTGATCAATCTTAATATATATTTTTTTCAATTGGATAGTAATTTTATTTGTTTGAACATTTGTTTTGCAGGAGTTTGAAATTTTGGATGATAGTGTTGATATTAAAATTGACGAAGAATTGGATTGATCTTATAAAGAAGACTCTTTTTTACGTTTGTGCTATTATCGTGTTAATTGTTCGCCGTCGATTAGAGAGGTCGCTTTAACAATGGTTCTCAATTTCAAGAATGGTTTGATTTGTATTCTGCGAAAGGGGTTTTTATTTTATGAGTGTAAATGATTGTATATGTTTTCTGATTCTGATGGTGTTTCTGTATTTCATATGCACTATTACCTGAGGTAAAAGGCGAATGGCAGTTTTTTCAGTTTTAGGATGACTGAGATAGTTTCTAGTTTTTCATTTTGAAAAATTGCAAATAGTAAACGCAACACAACAACCTTGAAAATCCTAGATTTGTTTTTGGTAACGAAGAAATTATGTGTTTCTAGTGTACGTTAAATAAAGAGTAAAAAACACTTTGCCCCCTAAATTAAGGGTCGATTTGCACTTTACCCTCCAAACAAAAAAAATTTGCACGTTTTTACCTGAACTCGTTAATTCGTTGCACGGTGCCCACTAAACTCAATTTTCCGGCAATTTTAACCGGAATGGTAAAACATGTGCTTTGCACGTGAGATTTTGAGGGGTAAATTCGTCCCTTCACTTGCATCTTTAATATTAAATGCAAATAAATATAAAAAAAAGAAGAAAAAAAAAAGAAAATAAATAAATAAATAAAGGAAAAAGAAGCTGTCATCCTTCCCTGCAAACCACTTCCGAATCCTCCAAGAAACGGGTCAGCCCGGATTCGAGCTGTAGAGCAAAATCGACGAACAATTGAGCAAAATCGACGAACAACAAAGCAAAATTGACTAACAATTGAGCAAAATCAATGAACAATTGAGCAAAATCGACGAACAATTGAGCAAAATCGATGAACAATTGAGCAAAATTGACGAACAATTGAGCGCACAAATGAAAGTGAGAGAAGAAGAAAAAGGCGTGTTGGCGCCATATTTCCGACCATTGAAGATCGAGGAAATCCGCCAAGTTTGGAATTAAAAGATTGGCAAAGATTTGTTTTCCATATTTATTTTGGAATTTATTAGAGTCCTATTCTTATAATACTTCTATTAGGACTTAGATTTATTTCCATGTATTTCATTCTAGTTAGGTATCTTTTGTACTTATCTAGAATAGAAGTAGAAATCAACTAGGATTCTATTACCTAGTTAAATAGATTTCTTGGGGTTCAAGTTAGGTCTTAGGGCTTATTTTCGTGGCTATATAAGCCTCCAAGACATACAAGAACCGTGTGCATTATTTGGGAGAAAAACCTCTTCATAGCATCGAAGTTTTGCCAAGGCGTTCTGCGGAGCAGGACTGTGCCATCGTTGCACTGTGCCAACATATACAGATTTGCTGTATAGATCTCAAGGGAGATCAGCCGCGTCACGGAAGGGAGTTCAGGCCAGAAAGGAGTTCTAGGCACGCGGTGTGGAGCTGCTGTTGGAAGAAACACGAAGTTCGAGTTGTGTGCAAGAACGGCATATTACATAAAGAGGGAGTCTTTAGTGTTTTTATTAAGTCCTATTAATGTACACTGTAAATCTGAACTAGTGAAATCGTGTTTACAGGTCCACGTGGATGTAGGGCACATTTGTGTCTGAACCACATTAATTCCTTGTGTTCATTTATTTGCTTTAAGTAGTTTATAACTGTGTTAACACAAGAATTATAGTTGTAACTGAATACTGTTTCCACAACTTAACTGTTACAACTTAGGTTAATTGATTTCTATAGGCATATAAATCAACAATTGGCATCAAGAGCCTCTCACTAGATAAACATAGTGTGTGATTTTGGGAATTTGATTTATTTGCCATTTTCTTCCATAGGTACTATGAATGCTCATATGGCAGGCGGTTCCACGACTCGCCCACCACTGCTTACTGGAACCAATTACTCTTATTGGAAGACCAAGATGAAGATGTTCATCATGTCAATGGATGAAGATGCATGGCGCACAGTTCTGACTGGCTGGAAACGACCTGTTGCCACAGATGAAAAAGTATCCTTAGAACCTTGATTTGAGCAGTGATTTGGGATATGATTTGGGCCTTCTTTGAACCGTTTGAGCCTTTCAAGCCGACCTTTTTATCGAAATTATCCTTAGAACCTTGATTTGAGCCTCGGAGAAAAGGTGTTCTTTCTTTTAGCCAATGTGTAAGGTAGAATAGGTGGAGATTCTTGAAAATTACCCCTTGGAGTTCAGTCAAAAAATTTTATAAGGTCCTTCTTCTTCTTCGAAAAAAAAAAAAGAAAAAAAAAAGAAAAGAAAAAAAAAAGAGATAAATATATATGCTTCTATATATATATATTAAATAAAAAAATAAAAAAAAAAAAAAAAAAAGAAGAAGAAGAGACTAGAAGGGAGAAATAAGGACTAGTTGGTGAATTATTTTTGAAAACTCGACCCCTTGCCTCAAAAGAAAAAGTGGAGACCTTTGAACTTTTGAGAATCGAGTTTACTAAAGTCCGTAGAGGTGAATTCATTGTTTCAAACGCCTATCTTTCAAATTTTGGCGTAATCACCTAAATTCAAGAAGAATAGCCACACATACCCATATTTCCTACCTCGAACCAAAGAGCCTAACAATTGAAAGCCACAAAGCCCCAATGATCCCAATAGCTTAATGTTCGATATTAGTAGAGTAGAATAATTTGGTGAATATTTGGAGTCAAGCATATGCATGTAAGTATAAATTCTTTCTATCTTTAATTTGCAAATATTGGATGCTTGAAGCAATTGTATGAATTGTGGTTTTTGGTAATGGTGAGTGACTAAGGGTTGTTGAATTTTGAGCTTCCGAATGCCTAAGAATTGTCATTATAATTACAAGTTCTGAAAACGTGAAGTTGACCATTGATCTATGTGATGAGATGTTATCGTTGAGTTATTTGCTTATTGGTAGATTTTGCTTGAGGACAAGCAAAAGTTCAAGTTTGGGGGTGTGTTAAGTGTATATTTTTACACTTTATCATATCTTTTTATTTGAGCTTTTGGTGTGTTTTAACGATAATTGGTGCTTAAAAAGTTGATTTATTGTATTTTAGGTACAAATTGAAGAATTGGAAAAGTATGGGGTCAAAACTGCAATTTTGGCGAAAATATGGGTCAAAAGTGAAAATATCAAAATTCTGAAGATTTAAAGCTGAGACCCCCGTCCCAGTTTTAGTGCAAATTGTGAGACCCCCGTCCGAGACTCCGAAATTGCGCAGTAAAGGAATTTTAATTGCACAAGGAAACTGCCTTCTTCCCCAAATTCTTCACCCTATATAAGACCAAGCCAAGCACACAATTGGGAATCAATCTTTTTACGCAAATTCAAGAGCAACGAAGATCAACGAAGATTCAAGCATAGTTTTTCTTATTTAATTTATTTATTTTATTTTATTTATCATAATAATTACGAGTAGCTAAGTCTTTATTTCTAGGATTTTATTTGGAACCCTATGTGGGATTTATGAACCCAATTCTATGATTTTATGCAAGTTTTAATTCCGGATTATTTCTTCTACTTGTTTTATTAAGTTCATGAAACTGGCCACTTTATGCGCTTTTATGTTATTGTTAATCGCATGAATCGGAAGATCGGGTTAATAATTAGAACTGTGGTAGAAGAGCCTTTGTGGTATTAACATAGGAATATAGTTAATCTCTTAGGTAGCCATTATTGAGATTTGTGCTTAATGCTGTGTTCTAGAATTAATTGCATAGGAATATAGTAATTGAATCTAGAGTATTAGAATCGTAATACACGCGGAAGCGGGTTATGATTAAATTAGCATCTCAGGTTAATAATCCGGATTAATTGCTTGTATAATTGAAGGAATTGGGGGAATAATAATCACATAGGGGGAAGAATAAAATCCTAGGCTTGTCTACTTTGATTAATCTTCGTTTTTAAATTGCTTTCGTGTTCTTGTCTTTTAAATTTTCTTTTTAATTTATTTTAATTTAGTTAATTCTCTCTAAATTCGACTGTGTAGGGTGGGCTTGAAAACAATTGGTAGAATTTAGCGTCTAGGATTAGATAATTAAATATTCTCTGTGGGATCGATACTTGGACTTAAAAAATCCACTTTATTACTTGTACGATACGTGCACTTGCGTGTAGGTTTTCGACCAACAAGTTTTTGGCGCCGTTGCCGGGGAATATTTTAATTATTTATTTTATTCTAGCTCTAAATTTGAACAATTTTCACGATTCACCCAAATTATTTTTTTTTCGTTTTAATATATATTTTTTTTTTCTTTGGTTACATGTCAGGTTACAATTTTCGCGCAACTCAAACGGGATATGAATGGCTTCCGTCTGGCGAATACCTCCAAAATACCTATAATATGCCGTTGCTTTGTTCAATATGTGGTGGAGAACATTACGCTAACCAATGTTGGTATGCACCGAAGGCGAATAATTTCATAGATAATACCAACAGAGGTTACTGGAACACATACACCAACACGTACGGGCAGAGCAATTCAAGCCAAGATTTCCACAATTTTCAACATCGTGAGCCGCAATTTGATGATTTTCAAACCTATTATGCAAAGCCACGAGAACCCACTATTGAGGAGTGTTATAGGAAATCCATCCTTGAAGATTTTATGAAATCCACTCAAGCATCTATCCGAAGACTTGAAATAATGTTGGAAGAGATGAAGCTCAAGAGGTCTCTTGAAAATATTTCAGACAATATCGAGAATGGTTGCAACAAAGAAAATTCGTCTGAAACTTGTGATGAGAAAAATCCTTTAGACCTAGAAAATAGTGTCGATGAGAGGGAAAAAGAAATTACGAAGACACTTGAAGATGATGAATCAGACAATGAAATCGAGCTCAACTCCAAAGATGTCTCGGAACAAGAGAAGAAAGAGATGGATGTGGTTAATGCAAATATTCAAATTGATGATCCTATTGTTATTCCTGACGTGGCTTTGAAGGCATCAATAGAGGTTGATAAGAAGGCGAATGTGTTTGAAGTGGAGGTTATACGCGGACGTGAGGTTTTTGTTTACCGATTTAAGGGAGCGGGTGATGAAGATCCCTACTTGGCTTCGTACCGATTGATTACAACTAAGAAAGACTAAAAGCTAAGGCGGACCCTAACATATTGCAATCCTATCCCTGTATCGGTTGCAATTGAAGTGACAAAGCTCATGGATGGATGCGCAATCTACAAGGCTTTGGATTGGACATAGCGATTTCAAGAAGCAAAGTCTGGCTGAAGACTTTAAACTTAGCGCTTCTCGGGAGGCAACCCGAGCTTTATTGTTTTTCGTAGTTTTCGTTAATTTTTTCGTTTCGTTTTTTTTTTATTGTCATAAGCATGCATTCTAATTCACTATTTGAATTTTACTTTTCAGGGTCGAAAACGTGATCGAGGGTCGAGTCGGCCGTCCGGAAAAAAAAAAAAAAAAAAAAAAAAAAAAAAAAAAAAATTGCCTGTGGGACGGCCGTCCCACAAATAGGTGTAAATGTGGGACCCCCGTCCCACAACCAGTAAGGAGAAAAAATTTCGGACGGCCGTCCGAAATTTAGCACAAAAACCGGGACGGCCGTCCGAACCTATTTGGGGCGTTTTAAATGTTTAAGAATCATATTTTCTCCCCCATTATTTCCAAAACCCTCCTCATTCCTTCTCTCAAACTCCCACACACAAATGGAGGCAAGAGAATCGAACCAAAATCTTCAAAATCTACTCTTTCAAGACACGCCCACAAGGTGTTCGATAATTTGCTCCAACCAAATTTTGAGTTCGATTGTCAACCAATTCTTAACGAATCTATTCCAACCTCTCTCCCAACTTTCTTGTCCAACAAAAGAAGCCGCACGAGAGAAGCTTCATCTTCTAAATGCAAAGGAAAAGGCAAGAAAAGTGCCACCAAAACGACGATTCCTCTTCCAAAGCCGCTCCTCAAGCCCGAGACGACCCCGAAGCCTCAAGCTCCCGTACCGATCGACGATTCCGAATGAAGATGGAGCGAGAGAGCTTTCCGATGATGAGGAGCATGAGATAGCTAGGGAGGAACACCCCGATCACATCGACTCCGACTAAATCAGGTGTTTTCTATCCTTAAACTTTGTGCTAATTTCGTTGAGGGCAACGAAAATTTTAAGTTTGGGGGTGAAAAACATGTTATTTTTGTGCTTAATTGTTTTAGTTTGCATGCATTAGGTTTTATTCGTTTTTATTGTTTTTCTCGTTTTTCCGGAATATAAAAAAAAAAAAAAAAAAAAAAATTGCTTGAGTCGAATGCATCGATGATTTATGATGATGAGAGATGATCAATGTTTGATGATGAAATTGCTTGTGCTTGTGTGATAAAGATTTGATGTTTGTTTAGCTTTCAATTCAACGGAACTTAGAAGCGAATTATTGCTAGGAATCACATTTTGTGCATTGCTTTGGTTGAATGTTTTGTATTTTAAATTTGGAATTAATTTGTGCTAGATCATGCTATGTTCGGTTTTAGAACTCACCTTAGGAAATTTATGATACGAAGTATTGAGTAGTGAGTGATTTGGGATATGATTTGGGCCTTCTTTGAACCGTTTGAGCCTTTCAAGCCGACCTTTTTATCGAAATTATCCTTAGAACCTTGATTTGAGCCTCGGAGAAAAGGTGTTCTTTCTTTTAGCCAATGTGTAAGGTAGAATAGGTGGAGATTCTTGAAAATTACCCCTTGGAGTTCAGTCAAAAAATTTTATAAGGTCCTTCTTCTTCTTCGAAAAAAAAAAAAGAAAAAAAAAAGAAAAGAAAAAAAAAAAGAGATAAATATATATGCTTCTATATATATATATTAAATAAAAAAATAAAAAAAAAAAAAAAAAAAAAAGAAGAAGAAGAGACTAGAAGGGAGAAATAAGGACTAGTTGGTGAATTATTTTTGAAAACTCGACCCCTTGCCTCAAAAGAAAAAGTGGAGACCTTTGAACTTTTGAGAATCGAGTTTACTAAAGTCCGTAGAGGTGAATTCATTGTTTCAAACGCCTATCTTTCAAATTTTGGCGTAATCACCTA